CTATAATATATGATCTGGCATACGCAACCGGAGGTAGCGAGTTATTATGGCCGTAGATACATCTATCCTACAAGGAAACATGAATTGGTAAAGACGAAAACAGAAGCGCATTCAGTCCAGGTGTCACTAGTAAACACATGAAAATCCGAATCGATTAGGCGGAAGCGGTGAGGAATTTTTGGAACCAATAAGTGAATAAGTGACGCAGCGTTTAGTCCCCTCCCGCATTCATAGAGTTTCCCGATGATTAAAACTGTATTGGGTAATGATCTTTATAGAGCGTTTGGTAATACATTTGTATGAAGCTCTAAAAAAGTCGCCATGTAAACATTCTGAACAATAAATGTATGTATTTCCACCAGAAAGGTAATGCCTGAGTTGGTAAATTTTTGATCTTATGAATGATGTCTTGAAGACCATTTCAAGATATTTTTTTAGTGGGTTATACTTGAGAGACGGAAGACACTTCTAACTATAAAATGAAGTATAGAACCATTTTCATTGTTAGTGAATTATCATTATGGCAAATTATTGAGATTCAAAATATGTGCATAGATAAATCACATTGTAGTACATTATCAAATTATATTGCATGCGATATGTACAAAGACAAATGAAATATGTACAATACAACTGTGTATCTTTAAAGAACTTATGTTTTGTTAAGAGAGCTTCTTATAGAATCCCAGATCAGTGTAAAGATTTTGGTTTCTGGCCAAAAAGTCCGCCTTATTCATATTATTGCAGCTCTGTGTGCTCTCCTGAGTATCCACGGATATAGTATGTTCCTTGTGTCTCATCCTTTTCTTGATTTGACGTCCTATCGTTACTTGAAATAAAACACACAAACTGATAAAGTTACAGCTACAGATGTGTGAAAATCCGAAATTATTTATGCGAAAAAATTCTTTCGTTTTCGTCCAGGGGTTAACTTGCTAATGACCGTTATTAGTCAGTTTGGATCAGTGATATTTAAAAAGGGGTATGCATATGTTTTGGGTTCAGGTGTCCAAGTCGATCATTATCTCAAAATTCTCACCTTTACTTCACTAGGTCTCACTGTTATTACGTACCTCGGGGCAGTTGTGCACATGGAGAGACAAGGCAAAGGGGATAAGGCAGATGACATACCACAAGATCAATTGTATACAAGAAGACTGGGCGAGAAGTTTGGTGCACTACCAGGCCTATGTGGGTTTGGGCAACAGAGTGGCAGTAAGGCAGGTCACTTATATCAACAAAGTCAGCAGTGTACGAGAAGGGTATACTGAGGTTCGGAGACATGTGGTTTGTGTATAGTACAGGAGGACCAGTTAATTCATATGGATTCCACATGCAAGATAACATCTGGGATACGCATTAAAGGGCCATTGAACTCTGTGGCAATACATTTTAAAAAGAGAATTTTGGTTGGGAATTACCAGAGTTTTATTATTTTTCATGTGTGGCGCAACACACATTCACTGTTGATCATAACACTTGCATTGTGAACGATGATATGTTGCAAGAAAACATTAAAGATTACGAATCTAATGTTCACTGTAAAGCTCAATGATTTATTCAAATCCTGGCTCTTACTTGTAATTTCAAGTTATACAAAAATAATAACAGTTATTTTGAATCTCAAAAGCATCAAAAGGGTTTATAAAAATACTTCATTATTCATAACAAAGTTAAAAAACCCATTCACCACTTTGCTCTTTTCCGTTGAAACATATCACTAGGACGTCTAAACAGTAAACAAATTGAATACTACTAAATGCATAAATACTCTGACTACCTTCAAATAAGCAATCAGTATTGTTATTTCACAATGAAACAAGTGTTTTTTATGTTAATAATTGATGATGATGATGGAAATAATAATATAGAAGATAATAATTAATAAAATTATTATATAATATATGCATATATATGCAAATAATATACATACATATATATACTATAGTATATAATAATGATATATATATATATATATATATGATATATATATGCAATATACATATATATACATATATATATAATATATATATATATATATATATATTATATATATATATATAATATATATATATATATATATGGTATATATATATAATAAAGTAACGATACATATATGATATGTAAGATAATGGACCATGATAAGAACGAACATAGTAATGATACTTTTAGTGATAATAATAATCATAATATTTATAATAATAATTCAAAAATCATGATAATAGTAATTGTAATAATGATACTAATACTACTATTAATACTACTATTGCTACTACTATTCTACTATTACTACTACTAATAATGATAATGATAAAAAATAATAATGGTAAAAAAATAAATACTAATAATGATAACGATTAAGATATTAATAATAGTAGTAAAAACAATACTAGCAATAACAAATATAATAGTTATAATAGTAATAATGGTGATAGTGATGATAATGATAATGATAGTAATAATAATAATGATAATTATTGTAATATCAATAATGGTGATA